TGTTAGCTGTTATTTTCCTTGAAATGAAATTCTATCTTATAAATTCATAGTTTGATGATAGAAACATTGCTTTGTGCATAAAAATATTATCCAACAGTTTTGAAAATACATTTAAGAATTAATGTATGCGAGGTTTTATTATCAAATTTTCCTTAACGGTAAAACATTAGAAGAAAAACAAATCATAATTTGGAAGCAATTAAATCAAAATGAAAAAAAAATTAATTTTATATTAAAACAAAATAATTATATAAATAGACATATAAATGTTTCTCTATTTTTAATAAAACAGTGAATATAACTGTTTAACATAGTATTAAGATGTTACTTGAAATGCCCCGATTTTTATTTTATTATATTATATCACTGTCATATAGAAAACGTAATATGAGGAATGAAAAGAAAAGGGTTAAGTATGTAATTATTATTTTTATAATATTTATGGTTTCGATATTTACGGTAGAATTCTATTTTTATTATTTCACTCTCTAAATTCGTTTAGTTTTCAAATTAGAATTCAAGAAATGAATTGTAAAATTATCACTGATTATTTTCGGATATTAAATTTTGAAAGCAACTTTTTATCATTGAGAAATAAATTATAAATTATTGTGTTTTATTATTAATATAATCATTAATTTAGGAATTATAGATACAATACTAGAAACGATGCGCTAGCAGATACCTACTTAACTCGAACTTACGAATTCGTCATTTTGAAAAAAGATGCAGTTTACCTTTTAACGAAAAATGAATACTGATTTTCCATGTATCAACGATATTTAGTATCTTATTTAGCATTAACGTAACATTATTATATTTAAATTCATTACTCCGAAGATTTTGTAAAAACAATAACGTCATACAATCTACATTCGTAAAATAAAATCGTTCAAATCTTCAAGCTTTTTTAAGAGTCTATATTTACACATTGTTAATAGCTTTTTTTTAAAAAACCAAACAAAATTCTGTTCACCGAGATGCTAAAATCAATTGGACAACGCGATTTCTATTTTGAGTGGACGGATGTTCTGTTAATATGCAATGAAAAGAAGACGACTTTAATTGTGCTGCGAATTAAATAAAAACTTACGTTAGTTATAGCGTCAGTCAAAATGATAATCCTTAAGTCTGATAATGTACACATAGTAACAATATTATACGGCGGTACAATAAACGCATTCCGAGAAAAGAAAACCTTCAAAGAAGGAATCACATCATAAGGATCATATGTATAATGAAGAACAGCAATATATACTGTTTTATTCATCATTAATATACTTAATAAATGCTATATATATATACATATACATATGCATACGAATTCACACACATACGCATACATGTATATATACAGCATCCGTTTAGACAATGCATATGTATATACACGATATGATATAATTTATAACTGAACTATTCTTAAACTGTATGCGAGGAGAAGTATGTCATAAAATCGAACTCATAAAACGTGATAATATTAAGAAATATTTTCTCTTCTACTCTCGGCAACAACATTATAAGACTGGTTACAGTTTCATTTTTACACAACCAATCATTTCTCTCATTCCGGCTCTCTCTCTCCCTCGCCCCCTTTCTTTGCAGTTGTACCATCTTTTACAGAATACCCTGTAAATGCGTGTGTATGTGTCTGTGTGTGACATGTAAGCGCGCGGCGAACGCACATCAGATTGCGGTCATTTATAATTTATACGAAAAAGCGTGATAACACATATTCATAATTCGCAATGAGGAGTATCGTCTACCTGTTCGAAGAAAAAAAAAACAATTTTTGTGACTTTGTATCGATCCAACATTGGCGAGCTGCATCACGCTCCGTGGTATTCTTAGTACTCATGTTTCTGGTAGCGTATCGTTCTCGTACGATGTCTAATCGAATATACTAAAATATAACATGATTAGCAATAACAATTAAGATAATCATTCTAGCATCTAAAAAACATATATTCGCGATAGCCGATAAATACTATTCAAATCCGATCAATCAAAAATTGTTTCCGTTTGCATAAGA